GTCGAAACATACTTTTCACTTTGGTAGATCCTTTACATATTAGAAATATATATTGGAAAATCTTTTGACATAATCAAAAAGTTCAGGCTTACTTTTAAAAATTGCTTAACAGCTGCAAAAAATATAAGCCTGATCCAATTCGAAGATTAAGGGCAACGCAGTCTGCAACATTACTGATTTAGATAATTTTAGCTATCTACCGTCCGTTTAACATAAAAACACGCATGCATAAACGTATTTTGTGCTGCGCACAGGCATTCACAGCCGGAAGGTCTTACGCGCATGCGTCCAAGTTTGTAGCCTTGAGGTCCGGATTATAGATCATTCCGGATTATGGGTGTCCGAATTAACGACTTTTGACTGTATTGCAAAAAGAAAGGACACTGGGTAAAAGATTGTAAACAGTGGATTGCTGATGGAAGACCGCCCAAGAATAGGTTAACGAAAACCAATAAAGGAAATACAGGGAGTGTAATACTAATGTCCATTGACGAAGAGGCTACGACTGATCAAACATCTTTTTGGATTGATAGTGGAGCTACAAGACATATCATGAATTGTTTCACATACTTTATTGACTTTATGAAGTTTGATAGTCCCTGTAGCATCAAGGCTGCTGGAAAAGAAACTTTAGTTGCTCTTGGTAAAGGTACAGTATGTGTCAAAACAACTATTGGTAGTAAAATCCAAAGAATTTACCTTAAAGATGTTTGGTATGTCCCTGAGATAAACAGAAATTTATTTTCTTTACTTGCTGCTCAAGATAGAAATCCGAATAGTAAATTTATTTCAACAGTTACAGAATGCTGGTTAAAGGTTAATGGTCAAGTAGTGCTTTTTGGAACTCGCGCAAAGTATATGGTGGTACTTTATACAAGGCAGCTATCGAACCTATTATGCCTGATAAAATTATAGAAGTGCATGCTGCTGAAAGCAGACAATTCCTTATTAGAGTTATATCATCAGAGAAATGAGGACATCAAGATAAACGTCACATTAAGAAGCATGCTTGAGAAAGAATTAGGAATTAAAATCCCATTTGAAAGAAAATTGTGTGAACCATGCATTTTTGGCAAAGCACACCGTTTACCATTTGGCATAAGAAAGCCAGCCAGCAAGCCTGGTGAATTAATTTCAGCTGATGTCTGTGGACTTTTTGATGAATCTTTCCAGAAGAAAAGATACTTGTGTTTAAAGAGAGCTACACAAAGTTTCGTTATGGGTATTTTATCAAGGAAAAATCTGCTGTTGTACATATGTTACAACACATGCTAAAATTTTAGGACATTCAGTCAAAGAATTTCTCAGCGATAATGGAGGCAAGTTTGATAATGACAAAGTGCGTGCTATTTTGCATTCTGAAGGTATAACTCAAAGACTAACAGCACCTTATTCTCCTGAACAAAATGGCTCTAGTGAAAGAGACATACGTACAATAATCGAAATGGCAAGAAACATTTAAGTACTCAAATTCTGAAGCTCATTTTCCTGCAGCAAAGTGGGCTGAAACTAGTCAAACACTGCCATATATGTACTAAACAGAACTGGCAAATCATCAGTAGAAGGCATGAGTCCTTATGAGCTATGGTTTAAAAAGAAACCTCGAATTAAGCATCTCTTCGTATAGTAGGATCAGTGTGTGTTATGCCCATATTGCCTAAACAAAGAAGAAAATGGATAATAGGCTACAAAAGCTTATTTAATTGGTTATGATGGAGACGAAAGATACCGACTATGGATCAAAGAAACCAATAGTGTGATCTGTTCACGATGATATTATATTTAACGAAAAGCTCACAAATTGTGAAGAAGGGTGCAGGGTGCAGTTACCTATTCAAGATCAAGATAGCCTAATTTCTGGCTCTGAACATCAACAAATTCAGAAAAAGATAAGTCAGAAAAGTTTCTTTGTGAAGAAGATAATTCAGAAAAAGAATACAACAAAGAAATATCTGGAAATATATCAGAAGAACATTTTGAAAACAAGAAGAATGTGAAGATATTAATTTGCAAAATAATGCACAGTCAAGATACCTAAGAGATAGAGCTGACTTGAGAAAGCCAAAGCGTTTTGAAGATTATATAATGATAAGTGAAGCTTTTATTATTGATTCTGAAGAGCCCGAATCTTATGAAGAAGCGATCAACTGTAAGCAAAGTGTTAATTGGAAAGAAGCTATGGATTCAGAGATGAAATCATTGATAGAGAATGAAACATGGAGTTTAGAAAAATTACCAAAAGATGCTAAAGCTATACCATGCAAGTGGGTTTATAAGATCAAAAGGAATCCTGATGGATCTATTGATAAATTCAAGGCTAGACTTGTTGCCAAAGGATGTACTCAACGTTTTGGAGTTGATTATGATCAAAACGTTTAGTCCAGTAACAAAGTTAGGAACTATTCGTTCAGTTTTGAGCATCGCACAGCCAATGAGAAAATGCATCTTTCTTAGTTTGATGTCGGTTCAGCATTCTTATATGGAAAACTTGAAGAATCTATATACATGCAGCAACCAGAAGGATATAGTGACGGTTCGAAGAAAGTCTGTAAGTTGAAACGCAGATTGTATGGACTTAAACAATCATCACGCTGCTGGAATAAATATTTTGGAGATTTTGTGTCACAGCTGTGCTTCAAGACAAGTGAAGCTGATCCATGCTTATATATAAGAAACAATAACGGCAAAAAGCTAATCGTATGTTTATATGTAGATGATGGTTTAGTAGCATCAACAGATCTACAAGAATCTGAAAAATTTCTCAGAGAATTGAAGTTGAGATTCAGAATCACAACTAAACCAGCAGTATACTTTCTTGGACTTGAAATTAAACATCTTGAAGATGGAAGTATTAAAATTAGTCAGCAAGCTTATACAAGAAAAATTCTTCAAAAATTTGGGAATGGAAGATTGCAAGCCAGTGTCAACTCCTATCCTGAAGGAAGGTCTAACTGAAAAGAAAAAGGAAGATAAATCAAACAGAGAAATTTTTCCTTATAGAGAAGCTGTAGGAGCTTTAATGTATCTTATGTTAGGCACAAGACCAGATTTAGCTTACTGTGTTGGCATTCTATCACGTTACCTAGAAAATCCTTCGAAAGATGATTGGAAAAAAGTGAAACGTGTATTCAGATACATAGCAGGTTCTCTAACTAAAGGTGTTACATACAAGAATAAATACAAACCAGGAATTCTAGAATGCTATAGTGATGCAGATTTTGGAGGCTGTCAAGAAACAGGAAAATCAACGAGTGGAGTAGTGATATTATATAGTGGTGGTGGAGCTATATCATGGATTAGCCAAAGGCAATCAGTTGTTGCAACTTCGACGACTGAAGCAGAAGTAATTGCAGCTAGTGAATGTTCTAGAGAAGTAATTTGGTTAAAGCGACTATTTAGTGATGTAACCAAGTTACGTGAAACTCCAGTAATTCAAGTAGACAACGCCGCTGCAGTGAGACTGTCACAAAACCCGGAGTTTCATCGACGCACAAAACACATTGATATCAAGCACTTTTTCATACGAGAGAAAGTTCTAGAAAAGGAAATCATTGTGCAGCAGGTACCTACAGAGGCGCAAGTTGCTGACATAATGACTAAACCTTTATTTAAACCGAGACTGTTAATTCTTTTGTGAGTGATAAGATGGGACTTTTGTGACTTTTTTCTTTTAATTTATTATTATTATTATTTTTTACAAGGGGAAGTATTAAAGTATGTTAATAAAAATAATAATAATATAATATATAGTTTAGATAAGTTCTGGCAACAGTGAGTGTTGTCGTCATCAGGAGATCGTGCTTCGCGATACTGTCGTTCAAAAAATAGCTATAGTTTGCAATTCCAATAAAAAGCATCGTATTTTTGCTCTGCTATTTGTTTTCTCTCTATTTTTAGAAATACCTTTTTAGATTATGTTTTTTTTTTTTTTTTTTTTAAGAAATACTTTTTTTAATACTGGAGCTTGGCTTGGGCACAATTTAAACACAGACAGACATGAGATTTCTCACTTGTATGAATAAGTATATGCTTAAATTACATTTTTGAAAAAGTGGCTTGTTACGCACCTCATACAGATAACGTTTCTTTTCTCTGTAAATAAGCATATGGATTTTTAAATTATCCTTGTGGCTAAATGACACATTGCATAACTCAGATACATGACATTTCTCTCTCGTGTGATTAAGCATATGGTCACTTAAGTAGCTCTTTTGAACTAATGACTTGTTACATACCTCACACACGAGGTTTCTTTCCTGTATGAATCAGCATATGGCATTTTAAATGATTTTTTTCAGTAAATGACTTATATCTCATACATATGAGCTTTATCTCATGTGCGAACAAGTATATGGTTGTTTAAACTATGTGAACAAATGATATATTACATATCTAACATACATAAGGATTTTCTGCGGTGTGAATAAGTACATGGCTTTTTAAATGACTTCTTTGAGTAAATGACTTTATGGAAATTTCCGGTTATGTCCTCGAGTTCCATATCACAGATTATGTTCTTACTGCATTAATATAAATATTAACGAGACATAGTGCACAATAAAAATTAAGCTTTATTTAGGAACATCGCGCATACTCCCCGACAGCCTGCCTCTTTTGCTCTGCTCGCTACTCGTAAGAAATTTCTCCTGTAGGGTTGCCACATTTATCGGAGGGCGCAAGGCGCGCTCCTTATCGCCATCACCACAGAGTTAGCCCCAGATCCTTTGATGGCCATTCAAAAGAAAGACATCAGGTTATGAAAATATCTCAGAGGATCCGTACTGTCGGTTATTTTTTTCATAATTTCAAAATTAGAATTTAAAATTAAAAAAGATCAAAATGCTATTCAATGTATAACAAGGTAAATGACACATATAATAAACATGAAATAACAAAAGATATGTTACGATATGAATTTAAAAAAAAAAATTTAAATTGTTATGTAAGAAGCAAGTTTCGTAGGGAAGTGAACGTGTCTTCCCGACCTGGTGACAGTTTGCGTCTTAGAGAGTTCGTTTGCAGATTTATTCTGATGAACTGTCTTTAAGTCTTTATTTGTTTTCAGTTCAGGCAAATTAGATTCCGAAAGCAAATAAGCTGGATTTCACACGGTCTGTAGACACAGTAAGATTTCAGACCGTTAACATGAATTGTGAAAGTTTTGTCCATTCTAGAAAGGACTTTATGTGGACCTGTATATGGTTGGCACAGAGGTGGGCTTTACTCGATCGACACATAAGTATACATGCGTACACGACTTTAAGATAGCATTTACGTAACACTTTTCTTGGCAATGTGCAGATGTTGCTATGGATTGAATTGTTGCATTCTATGCCTAAGATTCGTGATAAATTGTGTGTCATACGGAGATATCTTAGATGACGTTATCATATCACTAGGCAGCTTGAGAGTTGTGCCGTACACCAGTTCAGCACAAGATGACTGTAGATCCTCCTTTACGGCTGTCCGAATACCACGCATAACAACTGGTAGTGTTTCAGTCCAGTTATTGGTCTCGTGAGCCTTGAGAGAAGATTTTAAATGTCGATGAAATCGTTCAACAATGCCGTTTGACATTGGATGATAGGCTGTTGTTGTGATTCTGTTCGTACCCAAAATGCGCGTGAATTCTGCAAAAAGTGCGGATCTCATTTGAGAACCTTGGTCTGTTGTTATGATCGATGGGCAGCCAAAACGAGATATCCAACAGTTGAAGATGGCTTTGCAAATGGTTTCCGTTTTCATATCCGGGATGGGAATGGCTTCAGGCCATCTGGAAAATCTATCTATGAGAGTCAAAAGGTACACATTGCCTTCTGATGGAGGTAACGGTCCGACGATATCCATATGGATTTCTGAAAAACGTGCATCAGGAAGAGAGAATGTGCCCAGTGGTGCTTTAGTATGCCTAGTAATTTTCGATTTTTGGCAAGATTCACAGGATTTCACCCAATTTTTGATATGACGTTTCATATCGGGCCATACATAACGAGAACAAAATAAGCTTCGTAGTAGCTGCAATTCCTGGATGTGACAGATTATGCAGATGATTAAAGATGAGTCTGCGAAAGGAATTCGGAACAAATGGACGAGGAATGTCCGTTGATATGTCACAAAGAATATTACCATCAGAATATTGGCACGGTTTAAATTCCAGTTTCAAAGATGATGTGTTGTTTTTGAGAAGGTCTTGTATCCGGATCATGCCGTTGAGCTTCCGAAAATTTTTTAAAATCCAAAAATGGAGATTTTGTTATGGAATCAATTTCGATTCTTGAAAGAGCGTCAGCAACGACGTTTTTTGAACCTTGCACATGCCTAATATCAGTAGAGTACTGAGAAATAAAATCTAAATGGCGCAATTGTCGAGGTGAACATTTATGAGGGTTCTGTTTAAAAGCGTATATTAACGGTTTTTGATCCGTATAAATATAAAAATTTCTGCCCTCTAACATGTGTCGGAATTTCTTAATTGCAGAATAAATAGAAAATAATTCCCTATCGTACGCGGACCATTTCTGTTGACTTTTATTGAGTTTCATAGAGAAAAATGCTATAGGTTCCCATGTTTGTTGAGACAACTGCATAAGTGTGCCGCCGATTGCGACGTCTGAGGCATCTACCCAGATGCTTAGCTGGGCTCCGGGAATAGGGTGTCTCAAAAGGGTAGCCAGAGCAATGGCATTTTTGGCAGCAATAAAGGCTTGTTCAGCATTCTCGTTCCAATTTAATTGTGGGGATGAATCCAGAACACGAGAACGAGATTTCTTTTTATTAATATAGCCTTCTAACAATTTTATTAAAGGGGAAAGAATATGTGCTGCTTTAGATATGAAACATCTATAAAAGTTAAACATGCCTAAAAATCGGCGAAGCTGAGTGAGAGTGGTAGGTTGAGGAAAATCTAAAATACATTTGACTTTGTCAGGAAGAGGTTCAATTCCGTTTTCACTAAGGTGAAAACCTAAGAAATCAATAGACGTTTGACCAAAGGTGCATTTTGAAACATTTATGCAAAGTCCATATTCCTGAAGTTTGGAAAATAAAGCTTTCAAAATGCCTGCAATGTTCCTCAGAATGTTTAGAGGCTATGAGCAAGTCATCGACGAAAGCGTAAAACACCTTCTAAATCCGCGTGACTTCATCTATAAAACGTTGAAAGTCGCAGATGCATTGCATAAGCCGAATTGCATACGGATATTTCGAATAAACCGAATGGTGTGCATATGGCGGTTTTGTGGATGTCGGCTGGGTTAATTGGTATTTGATGGTATGCCTTAATCAGGTCGACATGACTAAAAATTTAGTACCGTGCAATGCAGCAGTAAATCGGCTAAACATGGAATAGGGTATTTGTCTTTTATTGTTTGAGCGTTCAATGCTCGATAATCTCCTACAGTTCTCCATTCCAGACTTCCCTTTTTTGGAACCATGTGAAGTGGGGATGCATAATTGCTGCTCGAAGGTCTCAAATGCCCAATTGCCATCATAGTTTGAAATTCTTGTTTTGCTATTTTTAAGCGATCTGGAGCTAACCGACGAGGTTTTGCAACCACAGGTGGACCTTTAGTTATGATATAATGAACGGTGTTGTGTTTAACAGGTTGGGTTAGGATCTGGTAATCTAGTAACTGAAGGAAATTCTTTTAAAATTTTGTGATATGGTGTATCACTAAATACAGTTTTTACTGAATAAATGCTTGCATTTTTCACGCAACCGACGGTTTTAAAATGCGTTTTTAAAATCTTTGAGACATTTGTTTCTGAGATCAGGCACCAATTCAAAGAAATGGAGAAAATCTGCTCCAAGAATGGGTGTACTAACATTTGTATAAGAAAAGTCCATGTAAACTGTCGTCTTAATTTGAAATCCAAAAGAAAAGTTTTTTGACCATAAACATGAATAGTAGAAGAATTAGCAGCGAAAAGTGTTTGTTGGGACGAATTCCGTTTTTGAGAATTATTTGCTGGAAGTAAGGACACGTCAGAGCCGGTATCGACCAAAGAATGAAAGGTTTGTTCTACGGTCACGAACGAACAGGCGACGTGAAACTTGAGGCAAAGAATAAATCGCCTCTATTCTTTGCTGGTTTCGTTTCCCTGCCATGAACAAGGTTTTGTACATTTGTCATCTCTACACTTTTTCCCAAAACGTCTATGATACCAGCAAACAGAATAATCTCTCCTTTTGGAATTGCTTCTTTCCTTATTGCGATCTCCGCGATTTGGCGAGCGACCACGAGAAAGAGAAATGCGATCAATACGTTTGTTTAATTTTTCTATTTGTTTAAATAATTTATCCTCAAGAGACTGATCGACTGTGCGAGAAACGGCACAAGTCCCTGGGGTTGGATTTACTTCTAAAATTCTGTCGGCAATTTCTGCAGCTTTATCTACAGTTAAATTGGAAACCGCTGCCAAAATAGACTGAACAGTCGAAGGCAAACGTTGAAGGAATAATTCTAACATTAAGTTATCAGGAACATTTAAAGATTCTGCTCGACGTTTCATATTTCTAAGGAAATCGGAAGGTTTTCGAGAACCTAATTCTTCTCCAGATAATAATTGGCGAATTTCTTGCTGAGAAGATTCTCCTGAACGATTTATTAACTCAGTTTTAAGCTTTGCATATGGATCAATAGGGTCTGGTTTCATAAGTAAATCCCGTACTAGTGATGCAATATCTGGAGGAAGATGAGCAACTACATAATTATATTTAGTAATGGATTCTGTGATAGGTTTGGGGGTGGCAAGAGCAAAAGTACTTTCACACATAATAAACCATAAAGATGGGTCTGATCGGTTATAAACCGGAATTTGGACGGCATAAACATCAGACATTGTGCAAGGTTTTTAAGCCAAAATAAAAGCAAAAATTTAACTAAAGAAAATGAAATTAAATGATAAGTAGGAAAACAAGAATTATAAAATGATCTATAATTACTACTCATCTGTGATCCGGAGGACGAAAAACCGGATATAATCCATTACTTCTGGTTTGGAGATCTTGAGTGATGGCCTTGTAGTCAAAACCGAAACGTGCTTGAGAACTGTTCATACGGCCTGATTTAAGCACAGTTCCAAGGTTCACCATTATGGTGATTCCTATCATGTTGTTACCTGTATGTTTTACCACCAATCCTCGCAGTTCCATATCACAGATTCGTGTTCTTACTGCATTAATATAAATATTAACGAGACATAGTGCACAATAAAAATTAAGCTTTATTTAGGAACATCGCGCATACTCCCCGACAGCCTGCCTCTTTTGCTCTGCTCGCTACTCGTAAGAAACTTCTCCTCTAGGGTTGCCACACTTATCGGAGGGCGCAAGGCGCGCTCCTTATCGCCATCACCACAACTTCTTACATATCTCACACATGTGAGGTTTATTTCCTGTGTGAATAAGTACATGTTTATTTAAAGAACTCTTTTCAACAAATACCTTGTTACATACCTCGCACATATGAGGTTTCTCTCCAGTGTGAATGAGCATATGGTTATTTAAATGACTTTTCCTAGTAAATGACTTATTACATATCTCGCACAAATGAGGATTCTCTCCGGTATGAATAAACATATGCATTTTTAAATTACACTTTTGAGAAAATGACTTGTTACATACCTCACAGAGATAAGGTTTTTTTCCTGTGTGAATAAGCATGTGGCTTTTTAAATGATCCTTGCGCCTAAATGACTTATTACATACCTCACACACATAAGGTTTCTCCCCTGTGTGATTAAGCATATGACCATTTAAATGACTCTTTCGAACAAATGACTTGTTACATAATTCACACACATGAGGTTCCTCTCCTGTGTGAATAAGTATATGGCTTTTTAAATGACTTCTTTGAGTAAATGACTTATTACATATCTCGCACATATGAGGTTTCTCTCCTGTGTGAATATGCATATGATTGTTTAAATAACTCTTTCGAATAAATGATTTGTTGCATACCTCACACACATGAAGTTTCTGTTTTGTGTGCATAAGCATATGCATTTTTAAATTACTTTTTTGAGTAAATGACTTATTACATACCTCACACGCATGAGATTTCTCTCCTGTGTGAATAAGAATATGGTTGCTTAAACAACTCTTTCGAATAAATGATTTGTTGCATACCTCACACACATGATTTTTCTCTTTTGTGTGCATAAGCATATGCATTTTTAAATTACTTTTTTGAGTAAATGACTTATTACATACCTCACACGTATGAGATTTCTCTTCTGTGTGAATAAGCATATGGCTGTTTAAACAACTCTTTCGAACAAATGACTTGTTACACACCTCACACATATGAGGTACCTCTTCTGTGTGAATAAGCATGTCTTTTTAAATTACTTTTTTGAGTAAATGACTTACTACATATCTCACACACGAGGTTTATCTTTTGTGTGAATAAGTATATGGTTGTTTAAACTACCTTTGTGAACAAGTGACATATTAGATGTATTTCACACACATGGGGATTCTCTCCTATGTGATTAAGTACATGTATGTTTAAATGACCTTTTTAAATAAATAACGTGTTAGATATGTGAAGTTCCTTTCCTGCGTGAATAAACGTATGTATGTTCTCTTTCGTCCAAATGGATTCTTGCATACCTTATACACAAGTTTTTTCTAATGTATGTATATGCAAATCTTTGTCTAAAGAGCCATACTGTCTAAATGACTTGCTAAGTACAGCCCGCAGGAGGCTTCTTTCGTGTGCCAAACCATAAGCAAATTTTTAAGTAACTCTTTAGTCTAAATGACTTGCTATACATGGCATAGATGAAGTTTCTGTCTTCTTTTGTCTGTGAATGAGCATATAGAGTTTGAAACTAGAAAACGGGAACATATTTCATGAAAAACAAGTTTGTTTCATATTTCGCACTAACATGATTTCTCTCCCTAGCGCTCATAAAGCTTAGTTTGGTCATTCAACTTGAAATTACATATGAAAGAGATTAAACCGTTTGAAAACTATAATAATGTTACCAGGGAATAATCATGGCGTACAGGATGAGAAATTGTTACGATATTTTCAGTGTTGTACAAAAATCTACCACCCAGGTTGTTTGCCATCAGCTTTTGGCCTCACGCCCATTTCAAAAGACAGGTTGTTCACGCATTTGTCTAAATGACTTTTTACATACTTTGCCATCATTTTGCTCAGTTTAGAAGCGAATGTAACGAAGTAAAAAATGCTTCCCTTTCTCAAACAGCTTTCAACACGGAAGAACAATTTTGATGCTCCCCGCTACGCAGCTATCGTTGCCAAAAATTCAGTTAATGAAAAATATGTTTCAGGGTCCCCCTTGGCGAATTGTTTTAGCGGCATTCCTGTTTACGTGCAACGTCAAAGCCGCCTGAAATAGCCTGTTATCTTCAGGTGGCTTTCGCAACGCCCAAGGAGGTTAGAATAGAAGGAGGGAGAGTTCGGAGTTCCCTCCAGTATCGGGGAATGACACTCCACCGAATGAGAGGCGTCCATGTTTGTAACTTCAAAACATTGCATTATGGCAGTGAAACGTACGTGTTTCTAAGCTGTTCCGTGCATGTATTTTCCAGTAAAAATATGTTAAATTTATAATGAAATTCTTCACTATTGTTAATTTTTTGTTTTAAAGTTATAAAGATGATATCCGTAATTTACTACGTACAGAAAATCATTAAGAAATAGTTCAAAATCTAAATGCATGTGCCTAACATTCAAGCCTTTAAAAATGACGTTTTCTGCATATTTCAAGAATTTGTTTAGGTTTTATTAGCAACCTCTTCAGTGTACTTTTGAATTTTTCTTTCAAGAAGTGATATTTCTGATTTATTCACAATATTATCATAATTTATTAAAGAATCATTTCATATACAAAATTTAAGAGACAGGAAAGAAAGTTATTTTATTATGCTTAAATACTCCAGCTTTAAGTTGTAATACACTAAAACATAACTTCAAATATTATTTTTATTGACATTTTTTCATTTTTTAAAGTACTTTTGGCATACTTTAAAAATTCAAATAATTCTTAATTTCAATTAAAAAAGCACACTGTAACTTTTAACCATTTATCAATTTTTAGAAGTATTTTAGGGGAGGGTCTGTATTTAATTATGGCAAAGCACACTAGAGCTATCTGCCCAAGGGGAGGGATGCCTTTGTGGAGGACTTTCTAAGGGAAACTGGCTCATATACACGTTACACATGGGAACAACCACGAAACCGCCCATGCAGCCAGCCCGTTCGCGGGATTCGAACTTCGGACGAAGCTACCAGTGTTCAGCGACTTTACCGCTCGGCCGCTGGTGGGCGCTTTAGGGGAGAGGAAGATTGTTTTTGTGGAAACCTGAGAAATTCTATTCTAATCTTCTTGGCAACGCCCTCCCGACCATTTTAGTAGCCGCTAAATCCCCAAACACGCAAGGAGGTCACGTGGCATCTAAATTACGTGCAAGATGATGTCACATCAAGGATACGCCCTTTACGCGCAGTAACTTTCTTTGCGTAAATTGAAACATGCTTGTGCCATATGGATTTCAGAAGAAGAAAACGTTTCATGAAACTATTACAGTTCTTTATATATTAACATTTTAGCATGTATATCTTTTCAATACACTCTTGTGTTTATTTTAAATCACTGAGAAATGTATGATATTTCAGTTTTAAATTAATATATTAATATTTGCAATACATTAATGATTTGTGCTTTGATTTCTGCATTGTATTAGAAAAAGAAATTAATATTTTCTTCTCTATATATTATTAAAATGAAGAATTAATGAATTTAAAATTTACGAACTTTTTTTGTAATAAATCTGGTATTATTTTATTGTATATCTGAAAAGAATCTGGCTTAAATATATATTTACATAGTTATTGGATTGAAGAACTAACATGTAGTATACTTCAGCCGATCTAGTGGAAGATTTCTTAAAATTATTTTAATAGTTTTGAAAAATATATTACACCCACACTAAATTTTAATAACTAATTTTTATCTTGTGAAATACACTCAGATTTAAATATGAATGAAACTGTGAAATTGCCAAGGTATTTTCACAGAAAGATAATTTCAATTTAAGGCTTAGTGTTTCTAATTTATATACGAGGCAATTTCCTCAGAAAGATATAGACATCCATCCTCTTAGGCTGATAGCCCTTATGTGTCATAATGAAATAAGTTAAACCAAGGTTTAATAAACATGTAATATTGTTTCTTCCTTTTTGTTACGGATCACGTTTAGTATAGGTGTCAAGAATTTTGATAAATCGCCAGTTTTAAAACATCTGGCAATCCTATAAATAATGATTTACAGTTTATTTGTGATGAAAAGAGCTTCGAGAAAACTACCTTATCATATTTTTTGCCATGCAGAACCTAATAATTTTTAATCACTCATAATACTTTCATGGCAAAAAGAGCTCTCAATATTCCACATGTTAATGTGTAAGGTTATTTAAATTTTACTAACAGTTTTAATTTTGAGTTAAACTTCTTTCCTATCAAATCTTTAACTTACGACTTCCGGCCAGAACGTAGTTTTAGAATCACGTCTGAATACTTAATGAAGAGGAGCGGTATTTAAACCGCGAAGTTCTACTTGCTAAGTTAGAGAGAATCCGAGTTTTTGATTTGCGCGCGTCTGCCTTTTTGGCTACTCTCTCTCAAAGCTGTTATTACGCTCGGGCGTACTCAGGCCCTTGATAGTTTCGTAGTCAACTACAGTTAAGGGGACAACTCGGTTAGAATCTTGATAACTTCGGCTATATCTCTTTAGTTTAAATTAGCTTTAGTTTATTTCTTAGCCTCTTAAGTTCAAGCCCAAGTGTCGGCTTTTATTGTATACTCTAAGACGGAGTTCTGTTAAATCTTATTGGAATAATAAAGGGTTGGTCAACCTTCTATTTTGTTTTTTCTCACACGAACTTAAGCGATTATTCGCTTAGCAGTTCTTAAGATTCTTCACTTTCTACAGTAACTGAGAAATACACAAGTGAGAATCCCACATTTCGCGCCCGAAAAGTTTTCAACAAATCATGTCGTTAGAATCCGGGAAATTTACGTTGACCCCTCCAACCTTTCAGGTCCCTCAGACGTCCACGAATCCAATGGAAGGATTCGAATTGATCTTGGAAACAATGCGAGCTTCCATGAAGCCAACAGCAACATTTGACGGCAAACGTTCAGTCATGACCTTCCAGGACCAACTGGACCTACATTTCACTTTGCATCCTGTGAACCAGCTGCAAAAGGTGACCATCGCTACTACAGCCTTAAAAGGTCAAGCCCTCAGCTGGTATAATGGCATTGGAAAACTCTTGTTGGGGGACCCAGGATCGGAATTGTACAAATGGGAAAATTTCAAGTCGGCATTAGTGGAAGCATTTCCAGTAGTTAAGGATCGTGCGAAGCTAGAATCAGGATTGTGTAGTAAATACCAAGGCAGTTAAGGGGTTAATAAAAGGTTAGTTACCCTTCCATTTTGTTGTTTCTTCTCACACGAACTTAAGCGATTATTCGCTTAGCAGTTCTTAAGATTTTTCACTTTCTACCAATAGTCTTTATCAGTTCGAAGCGGCATAAAAATTGCAAGAGAAAATTGCTTGTTTGAAATTTTCTACTAGTTCAAATTTAAAATATTATTTTCTAAAAGAAGTAGTTACAAATTCCTTACAGCATAGGAAAAGCTAAAAAAATCCAGCCCTGAAATCATGCAATAGCTTTATAATTATTTAGAACATTAATTATGCTTGATAAATATGCTAAATTTTTAAAAATCAATCTCAGTTTCAAAAATAAAAATATGGAGAAATTCTAATTTGTGAAATGAGGTGCTACAACTAGCTTTTTCTTGACAATTATACACGCTGCAATAGACAACCACTGTTAAATTTCTGCAAGTCGTCCCTACTCCTCCGGATGTGATCAAGGTGACAGACGGGAACGCTTCAGACGAAGGAGAAAACACATTTGGGTTGGTCCATTTCTTATAAGGCCAATGCTGGAAAGCGAAGAAAAAGAAAAATGTATTTTCCGCTCTCTTCTAACTTTAGTACCGTATCCACTCCTCCACCATACAGCCAGTGCGCGAGCGCCGGTTAACCACCTGAGCGAACACAAAGGTCACCGCTTTTCGCTTATCTCATTACTGCCTTTCTCCTAGAAGGATTTTATACGTTG